ACTTGAGACCAACTCGAGTTGCAACCAGAGTCACAGAACGGATTAAGTTCATAACTAGAGGCACCACTGTACTGAGTAAAGGGGCTGAATACTTATGCCAATGTGATATTTCAGTTTTTTCTTTTTAACAAATTTGCAGACATTTCTAAAATTCTGTTTTCACTTTGTCATTATGGAGTACTGAGTGTAGATTAATGAGAAAAAAAATGAATTTGAAAGATTGTAGTATCAGGCTGCAACATAACAAAATTGAAAAAAGTGAAGGGGGTCTGAATACTTTCCGAATGCACTGTATTTTGTGTGCAACATAACAAAATTGAAAAAAGTGAAGGGGGTCTGAATACTTTCCGAATGCACTGTATTTTGTGTTTATTTCAGAACTATTGTGTTGTTTCTTATTAGAAATATTTATATTGAATAATCAAAATAAAATGTTTCATTTTACAGACCCTGCTCCACAGAAAGTAAAACTTGTGCCTGAGATAGAACAGCAGGTCAGTTAAATATATAATAAAAATAATGTTTTATTAAAACTGTTTTAATATGTTTGGATTGCATTAATTTCAGTCCTGAAGTCTGGTTATGGAAGCAGTTGAAGAATTGCCCTGAACGCACCTCTAATTTTGTATAGGATAATGCTTTCTGTGAGAGAACAAACAGGGTAACTATGGCAGATCAGCAGGCTGTACTCCATATCTAAATGAAATTGTACATTCCTATCAAAGTACCCTATTTATTCATGTGTTTAAAAGCTCTTTTTGCTCATGGGTGTATTTAGTATTATCTGGTAATCTAGTGGTGAGATATAGCCTGTAGTACAGTATGGTATAGTATCTGCACCTTTGTGGCCCTATTAAAGTGTTTTCACTCAATATGAAATAGGATTTCACATTTCTTTTAGTATCACGGTTCTTGGTGTAGCATTTATAGGGTAATATGTTAATACGCTGTTTAGATGTGCCAAATTTATTATATTTCTGCACCTTTGTGGCCCTATTAAAGTGTTTTCACTCAATATGAAATAGGATTTCACATTTCTTTTAGTATCACGGTTCTTGGTGTAGCATTTATAGGGTAATATGTTAATACGCTGTTTAGATGTGCCAAATTTATTATATTCTTTGTCACTTCAGGTTTTTTTTCTCTTTCTGGAGAAAATAATGAACTTTTAATATTTGGCTAATCCTTATATGCAGATATGTGTTACTGGCTTTTGCCCATTGTACAGCAATACTTTTGAAACTACATGAATAGGAGAAACACTTTTATTGGGGGAAAGGTAAATATTTGGATTGAAAAATGTGGATGGGAACAAAGGCTATATGTCATTTATCTTACTTCTCTGATCTAAATTTATATTCATTAGAATGATCATTTTAAAAACAGTCAGAGTCTAGTTATCCATGACTGCATGTGACAGTTTCATGGGTTACAAAATTTAACCATCCTTGAAATAAGCTGCTGATAGTATCAGGCTTACTTTTGAGAAGAAAAAGTTCAGACTCACTTTAGACTGAAAATTAAACTGATTTAATCTAAGTGTGTTGATTTCTTGATACAAGCACTTAAGTAGATTTTGAAAAATTAACTTCTTATACAATTATAAAATAATTAAATACAATTTTCTGAAGGGTATTATTAAGAAGTAATCACCTACAAGAAAGAAATAATTAGCTGTAGAAAATTGCTATCATATCATTTTTTCATGTTATTAGTGCACTGTCCTTAATAATTTAAGTAGCTATTTTTCTGAGGTGAGAAAACTATTTTACTGACAATTTTATAATCTCTTCTTTTTATGTTGCATATTCTTTTTGGTATACTCAAGGCTAGGTTTAATGGCAAATATGAATACTAACAATTAGATAAAATGTACTTAATTAATTGTTGTCTAAGTAAACATTAGAACTTATCGGAACCTATTTTTGTAGAATATAGAGACAATGAATGAGCTTTATTCAAGGCTGTACAAAGAAGCCGAAAAGATCAAGAGATGGAAAGTCAGTGTACAATATGAACTAAAGGAAAAGGAAAAAAAATTGCAAGAAGATAGAAAGATTATTGAAGCATTGCGTAAAGCCATTCAAGAACTACAGGCAAGTGTTCGTGCACTTCAAAATCAAGTAATAAAGTAAAATAAAAAATTCTAAAGACTTAACATTTAAGGTATTATGCAATTCTAATATGAGTTCAGTGTATGTTTTATCCTTTCTCCATAGTATGTTAATATGATCAATTAACATGATCAATTAACATGATCTATGATCAATCTTTCTGTTTCCTAACTCCTCTCATTCAAAAATTCAAAGATTTGCCCAAGCTGTTTTTACTGTTTCAGGACATTATGATCATGGATATGTTTTTGATTCTATAGAATTCACAGAAATGACATGATTCACCCTTCATTAACAAGACTGAGCACAGACAATTACTAAACAATCAGTGTTCATTTGCTGACTGGTGATAACTGCCTTATCCTGCTAACTCCGTTTCACATATAAATATACATGATTTCTCCCATTTTTTTTTCAAGTATAGTATTTCTAACTTCACCATGATGGCATAACTTCATTCTTGCTGGCATAACAGTTATGCTATATTAAGGCACTTTTTAAAGTCACGTTATCATGCCATTGCAGTGGCATCCTAGGAGCTGGTAGGTGGGCTGAATCAGCCATTCCCCAGCCCTAACTCTCTTTGTTTTTGTGGTAATTGCAGCTTGAAATGGAATTTCCTTGCTGAGGAATAGGACAACTGTGATTCAAGGATTTGGGAACACTGTAATTACAGTGATAATACTACTACTGATACATAATAATACTACTGATTATATGATCCCATAACTGGACATAATGATAAATATGCAGTTATGGCATCATATAATCAGTAGAGGGCTCATTACACCTCATTCTTGGGATTTCCCACTATCGCCTGGTCTGTAAGAACTTTTAGAGTGTAAACTTTATTGAAAAGAAGCATGAATATTCTTTTCTTATACTCACCCAGAATGTTTGCTAAAATAGAATTAAATTATGAATCAAAATAACTTGTAGAAGTGAATCATAAGACAATATTTTTCAGGCAGTGATTGCCCTAAAAATAAATAATGGAATGGGTATCTATTCGCATTTATGTATTACTTCTCACTTGCATATTCAAATGTTATGAGAATTCTAGCTTCCATTCCTGAATAGTTTGTTTCTAACTGCTACAGCTTCAGATCTAATTTGAAGGTATAATGATCTAGTATCTCAGTTTAATTAAGTGCATGTTGAGAAACTGACATGGAGCTCATCTTTACAACCTATTAACTGTGGCAGAAAGGCTCCATGCTAACCATTTTTAGAGTATATGTCCTCATGACACAGTCTTCATCTCAATCCCACTGAGCCCACTGTGAGGTGGCTTACATTTTTCTGTAACTATTTCTGTTTTAAATTAGTGCTTTCTTGTGCACATGTTTTGCCATATGAATATTCTATGACATCACCTCACTGATGATGTTGACAATGATTTATTTTATTTATTAAATTTATATGGCTGTGCATCTCACTTGCATGTGATTCTGGGTGGCATATATATTTAACACACAAATAAAATCATAGTCTTCTACCATTAAAAACAATTAAAAATTAAAAACTACACTTAAAAATACAATAATAAAAAGCCAGAGAGTGCACTCTAACTATATACAATATAACCATTTAAAGAACTCCATACTTCCTTGGGACCCCCAAGCCCAAGGGAACATTCAAGTTTTGATTGGTCAGGTGCTGGAATTTGCCTAGCTCCTACTGGCCATTTTCAGTTGCTTCAAAGTTGCCTCACTGGGAGCGTTTGCATACCACTGGAAGATTCTGGGAGAGTGAAGAGGAGCCGACTGCGAGCAACAGAGAAGTGGGCTTTGCCTCATCAGATCAAGCTAGCGGCCTGGGAACTGCCTCACTGGGAGTGTTTGCATACCACTGACAGATTCTGGGTGAGCGAAGAGTAGCTCACTACAAGAAACAGAGAAGTGGGACTTCAGCTCATTGGATCAAGGCCCGCCAATCTTACAACTAAGAATCTAAATCAAGAAATCTACAAGGGAAAATCTGTTTGGAAAATCTACTTGGATCTGCACAACCCTCAAGGGTAATGAAGTAATGGAGAAAGAAGCTAGCACTGTGGTGACCTGCAAGGTGTGTGCTATGTTTGTATTCCTGCCCAAGGAGGACTCCAATTACACCTGCACCAAGTTCAAACTGATCAGATTGCTGGAGGAGAAAGTGGAGGGTCTATAGGCATGTCTAGACACTCTGAGACCCATCTGGGAAAATGAGAATTTCCTGGAAAAGACAGAAGTCTGTTTACAAACTGAACACAGCAAGGAAGAAACAACTACCAGGAAAAATGGAGCCCTAGAGGAGGAGGGATGGCAGCATGTCACTCGGAGGACCAAAAAAATGAGAAGACTATCCCTTCCACTGGAACTTAACAATCAATTTCATACCCACCTCCTGGAAGAAGACATGCAGTCATCTGGAGAAGGGTCTTCATCAAGTGTTTCAGTAACAGGAAGAAAGGTAGCTCAGAAGTGACAGTCTGAGAAAAGGAGTCCGCTGGGTGTCCTGAAGAGGAAAAGACGTGTGGTAGTGATTGGTGACTCACTTCTCAGAGGAACAGAATCAGCAATCTGCATACCAGACAAGCTATCAAGGGAAGTGTGTTGTCTCCCAAGTGCAAAGATCAAAGACATGGCAGAAGGGCTTAACTAACTAATCAAGCCCACTGATTATTATCCCTTTCTCCTCTTTCGCGTAGGGATAAATGATACAACAAAAAAGAGCCTGAAAAAAATATCAAGGGACTATGAGGAGCTAGACTGAAAGGCAAAAGAGTTAGGAGCACAGGTATTTTTTCATCCATACTTCCAATGGATGGTCAACATCCACTGAGGAAATGGAGGATATCAGAGGTAAACTGCTAGCTCAAGGGATGGTGCCATCAAGAAAACTTTGGATTCTTGGACCATGGTCTATACTACCTACAAGATGGGCTTCTGGCAAGAGACAGGCTCCACCTCACAAGGACTGGGAAGAACATGTTTGGAAGATATCTTGCTTGTGTCATCCGAAGGACTTTAAATCTGGAGAGGGAAGGATGCCAATTTCTAGGACCAAACCCAAAGCATAAGCCCCATGACAATGAATTTGACAACAAAAAAGGAAATGGTGAGAAGGAAGGGGCACTCAGGTATAAAACAGGAGATGTAGCAAGCAAACACAAGGTCAGCCATAAAGGGCTCAGGTGCCTGTACACTAATGTTCAAAGTATAGGAACAAACAGGGAGAACCTGAAGTCCTAGTACGTGAGGGCAGGTATGATATTGTTGGTATTACCGAAACTTGGTGGGATGGAACCCATGATTGGAATATACTACTAGAAGGATATAATTTGTTCAAAAGAAACAGACTCAACAAAAGAAGAGGAGTTGCACTGTATGTAAAGAATTACTACACCTGTACAGAAATATATGATACCAAGGATGAAAGCCTTGAAAGTATTTGGGTGAATATTAGAGGGAAAGAAATGATATTGCTATAGGTGTGTACTACAGGCCGTCCAACTGAGCAGAGGAAATAGATGAATTTTTTGTAAATCATTTAGCTGAGGTGTCCAGGAAACACACCACTGAAGTAACGGGGAAGTTTACTGCCCTGACATCAACTGGGAAGCAAACTCTGCAGCAAGTGGGAGATTGAACAGGTTCCTGACGTGCCTGGGCTGGCAACTTTATCATCCAAAAGGTGGAGGAGGGAACTAGAGAGTCAGCTATACTGGACTTGATACTTACTAAAAGGGATGAAGTGGTTGAGGGAGTGGAAGTTGTAGGAACTTTAAGAGAGAATGACCATGTCATACTAGGATTCACCATAGTGTTCTAGATTTTAAGAGAGCTGACTTCAACAAACTATGAAAGAATAGGAAGGATCCCATGGATGGAAATCCTAGAGGGAAAAATGATTCAGGATGCTTGGGAAACTCTGAAAAACGAGATAATAAAGGCCCAAACAAAAACAATACCACAGAGAAAGAAAAACAAGAGACGCCTGACAAGACCAGTGTGGTTGCATAAACAGCTCTCTAACAAGCTGAGGGACAAAAAGGACAAGTATAAAAAATGGAAAGAGGGGTTTGTAACTAGAGCAGAATACAGCAAATAGCCCAAATCTGCAAGGACAGAGTCAGGAAGGCTAAGGTTCAGAATGAGCTAAGACTTGCAACAAATGCCAAAAACAACAACAAAAGTTTCAATATGTGAGGAGCAAAAGGAAAGTCAAGAAAATGGTGGCTCCACAGTGGGAGATGGCAAGAAGGTGATAGGCATCAAGGAGAAGGTGGAGCTGCTTAATTCCTTTTTTGCATCTGTCTTTACACAAAAGGAAAAAATAGTCAAATCTGCCAAAAGCAGCACTGAGAGACAGAAGAAGAATGCAGGTCAAAATAGGTAAGGAATTGGTTAGAGAACACCTAGCTGCTCTGAACGAGTTCAGGTCTCCTGGACCGGATGGTTTACATACCCCAGGGTAGTGAAGGAGCTGGCAGATGTGATCTCAGAACCACTGAATGAAATTTTTGAGAGCTCCTGGAGCACAGGGGAACTGCCAGAGGACTGGAAAAAAGCTGATGTGGCTCCAATCTTTAAAAGGGGGAAAAAGTGGATCCAGGAAACTACAGACCAATCAGCTTGACATCAATAACTGGGAAAATCCTAGAAAAGGTAATCAAGCAGCAGGTTTGTGAGCACTAGAAATGTACAAGGTGGTTACTAGAAGCAAGCATGTATTTGTTAAGAACAGGTCATGCCAAACAAATCTTATCGCCTTCTTTGGTAAAGTGACTAAATTAGTGGACCAAGGAAATGCTGTGGATGTAGTATACTTAGATTTTAGTAAGGCATTTGATAAAGTAGACTACAGCCTACTTCTTGGCAAGATAGAACAATGTGGGATAGACAGTACCAGTACCAGATGGATTTGCAGTTGGCTGACCAACTGCACTCAGCATGTGGTCCTTAATGGAACTACATCTAGGTGGAGGAAAGTGTGCAGTGGGGTACCTCAAGGTTCTGTGTGCTCTTCAACATCTTCATAAATGACCTAGATGAGGGGATTGAAGGGGTGCTCATCAAATTTGCAGATGACAGAATGCTGGGGGGAATTGCTAACACTGGAAGATAGATTCAAGATTCAGAAGGATCTTGACAGACTTGAGCATTGGGCCCTATCCAACAAGATGCAGTTCAGTGGAGAGAAAAGTAAGGTCCTGCACTTAACCAGGACAAACCAGATGCACAGATACAGGATAGGCAGTACCTGGCTCAACAGTAGTGCCTATGAGAGGGATCTAGGTGTCCTGGTGGACCACCACATAAGTATGAGTCAGCAGTGTGCTGCAGATGCCAAAAAAAAACAATGCAGTCCTGGGCTGCATCAACAGAGGGGTAATATCAAGATCAAGAGAAGTGATAGTAGTGCTCTACACTGCACTGGTGAGGCCACATTTGGAATACTGCATCCAGTTCTGGTCTCCATCATACAAAAAAGATGCTGAGGCCCTAGAAAGAGTGCAGAGAAGAGTAACAAAGATGATAAGGGGACTGGAGGTTAAATCCTATGAAGAATAGCTGAAGAAACTAGGTATGTTTAGCTTAATGAAGAGAAGACTGAGGGGAGACATGATAGCAGCCTTCCAATACCTGAAAGGCTGCCACAGGGAAGAGGGCATCGATTTATTCTCCATAGCACCTGAGGGTAGGATAAGAAGCAGTGGGTGGAAGCTTGACAGAGGGAGACCCAACCTGGAAATAAGGAAGAATTTCCTGACAGTGAGAACTATTAAGCAGTGGAACAGCTTGCCTCCCAGAGTTGTGGGTGCTCCATTGCTGGAGGTTTTCAAGAAACGATTGGACAACCATTTTTTCAAGATGGTATGAGGACTCCTGCCTTGGGCAGAGGGTTGGACTAGAAGACCTC